TTTACCTACTCTACCCAAAACAATCTGTCATTGTTATTACAAAGCTCAAAAAAAATGTGGAGTTTTGTGTTCCTTAAAAATAGCTCCAAATAGATTTGTTATGGTTTGGATATTAGATGTCCTTCCAAAGGCTCACTTGTTAAAGGTTTAGTCACCAGCCTGTGGAGCTCCTGGAAGACAGTAGAGCCTATAGGAGGTGGGCCTTTTTAGAAGGAAGTTATGTCATTTGGAATTTGACTTTGTTTTTGCTTCCTAGCCACCATGAGGTGTTCAGCTTTGCTTCATCATATGTTCCCTACCATGACATTACTGCCTCACTACAGCTCCCCAACCCCCAAAAAGGGTTTATTTTGGCTCCTTGTTTCAGTAGGAAGTAAGGCTTTTTATAAGATGATTATCTCAAATATTTTGTTGTAGTGACAGAAATCAACACAAGGTTGAACTACAAAAGATAGATGTGGAAGTAAAGCCTACAGTCTTTGCTTTACCCAGCATTTCCAATGTTGTCATCACTACTTATTGAGCACAAATATGTTCAAGGAACTATGCTATGTGTTTTCCATGTATAAATTCTCTCCCTTGTATCTCAGCCTTCAGTCCTTCATCATTGTGAGAGAGCTTGACCCCACTTCAGTCCTTATTCCTTGGACATTCCTGGCATCCAAAAGAATCCCTTGTCTTCTTCCTCACCCAAGAGTTCCCCTACTTCAGCTTCTTATCTGCAGAGGCCCCTATATAGTTCCTACCCTTTGTACCCTGATCCCTAAAGTATCCTCTGCTAGTGTCATCAACCTGTGGAATTTTCATTTCACCATCAAATATCAGGCAGAGCAAAGAGAGGAACACTGCTCTTGAAGATGTTTTCCTGAATATACTTTGGCACAGGAATACACAGAGGTTTAATTTTGTAGTTTCATTAATACCATTATCTTAGGTGCATTATAGTTCACTCATGTTTTACAAGTTGGATAAAATCCAACTCTAACACTATTTCATTGTGATATCCATTCAGAGTTGTAAACCAAGAATTTACAACTGAAGATTCAGGCCATAATCCATTGATATGTTGGGAACAGTACATTTTTGAAGAAAACTGGAATAATATAGAGCAAGTCATATTTTTTGGCTTGAGAAATTAACCTGAAACATTACTTTTTTTGACTTGAGAAAAAAACACTACTTTCAGGAATAGCAAATTTTTCCTAACTAGTACTCAAGTTGTGTCTCATAAAAAAGTTCTGCATCAGATGTGTGGGTTTTTAAAATCCAAATCTAAGCAGCAGGCCAACAGAACTGACAACTGGAAATAACATCATTTAAAAGTATATTCATTCCAAGGTAGGCCTGGTATCATTTCATCTCTTTTTGTTCATACCTAGCTTAGCTGGTTCCTGGCACAGAGTCAGATTTCAGTGAATGTTGATGAATGTTGTTTTTAAATAAACAGAATGCTCTTGGTGACTATGTCTATTCAAGCAAGTATTTGTAACTGAACTAAATTATTTATATTAAATTCAGCCTTCCTTATTTCCTCCAAGTCCTTTTCTTTGTTGCTTATTTATATAGTGTGTAATTAAAGGTTGGCAAACGGTGGTTGTAGATGATGGAATATTGGTTGAATGCCCAGACCAGGAGGAGAGATTCACACCCTGTCTTATTCTTATCACACTATCTTTGGATGAAGGAATTAAGAGTTGGTTTAGAGCTTTTGTATTTAGCCTGTCACTTTCTTCATTATTTGTCTGGAGTCCTTTATGGCTGATAAAAGGAGGCAGAATCTTGAAGGTGAGCTGATTGAGGCAGGGCCCCTATGTCCTATTCATCTTTGTGCCTCCTATTAACATTCCTATAACAGCCTTCCATCTAGTTAGAAAGAAAGGGAAATGACCACCATTTGTTAAGAATCTACTAAATTAGGTACTGTTATCGACAGATGATCCAACTGGTACCACCTAATTAATGCACCAATTTTAAGACTTAAATTATTCTCAATTTAGAGTTGAAAAAAAATGGAAGAATGCCAGGTATAAGAATTTTGCCAAAATCACACAGTCATGAGCTTTACCATTGTGCCCAACACATTTTGTGTTCAGTAAGTAACTGTTCTAAGGTCTGTACTGCCTTCCAAATACTAGCTCTTTTCACTACTGAGTGTGGCCTCCCCAATAAATGTGCCTAATAATAACAACAATGGCTTGAGACATTTTGGTAAATGCACAATGGTTTTCATGTCTAACTTAATATATGTAATAGACATTCATCTAATTACATTTATATATAATGTTTCTTGTAGACATCCAAGTGAAGAAAGATAAGTTGTCGCTTGGATCAAAAGCTCAGAAGATTCTAGGAGAAGCTGAATTAGAAGTCCTTTGATTTGGAAATCATTAATGTGAAACATCTATATTTTAAGGGAATGATTAGTGGCAGAGAAGTTATCTAAGAAAATTGAGAAGAATCTGGCAAAGTGATGGGCAGAGAGCCAAAGAGAATATTGTTAGGGAACACTTGATTCTATGAGCTATGGAAAGCAAGGGAGAGGAGAAGGCAAGGAGAAAGAGGTTGGGTCTCCCATTCTAAAAGAATGATGGGAAAAAGGAAACACAGAAACTAGGCAACCAGGTGAGTGTTTTTGTAAGTTGAATACAAAGACTTGATTGAAAAGTGGCGAGTAAGATGGAAGAAGGGGCAATAACTGAAGACCACTCTAAGACACTGGAGGAAGAATGTGGACAACAAACATACTTCCTCTGAGATAAAAGGTGATGAGATGTGAGAAGCAGATGAATTTGAAAGCAAGTCCTCAGGAAACATTATTTGCTCACATGAAGTTGTAAGCTCAGTTATAATTTTCACAAGTCATATGAGATCTTGTCTAGGTGATGATAATAATTGATTCAAAAGCAAAATAATTCCATTCCTCACAGGAAACTTAATTCATTACCAAGGCAAACAGAATCATTTCTAGGGAAAGTTTGAAGCCTCTAGCAAATCCTGTAGAGTCACCTTCATTTGTCTATATTCTTATGTGAGTAAAAATGGGTTATAATGAACATGGTGAGAATCCCTGCGAGAAAAATGAAATTCATAAAAGGTTTGAAATAAACCTGTCAGTACTTTACAAGTATATAATGCTTCATGGCTTTTAATTCCCATGTTCTCATTCAGCCCCCAGTCCTATGCTTTTGTCTATTTTTCCCTTCTGCTTGCAATATTGTCGTTTTCACCACCACCTCCTAAACTTACCTCCTTCAGATAAGCCTCATGCACACTCTTACATACCATTTCTGCTGCCATCTCCATCTACCATGCATTTACCTATCTTGTTCATTACTGTCTTTATACAGTATAATGAATGTCTCTTTTCTCTTACCCTCCGTGTCTTGATTTTAGTGAAAAAATTAATATGATAATTTCCTTTTTGCAGATAACAGAACAAACCTAGTTGAGATTAAATAATAGAACTTACAAATGTGGGATTTAGAACTTGAGTTCAAAACATACATCTTGTGGTCCCCAAGCCCATGTTTTCCTCCTAAACTGTTGTCTCTTTTGAAACCTGAAGTGCTGTCTGAGGGGACATATGAGGAGGGGAAAAGTGAAAGTGTGCACTATCATACAGTTGCTCAGATGATCCAGACTTATACCCGTGGAGTCACTTTTTTCCTCCATTTGTGATATCACCTAGTGATGGCCTACTTTCCCTTGCTACTCTCCTAATGTGAGGATCATGCCCAGTGGGCTGAAGTAGAGATCTGGCTGCTCTTTATGGACATAAATAGTACATAGCATTGCTTATGCCATTATCCAAACAATGATTTACTTTGTAGGCACAGTTATCTCATTCAAAACAAATCCATTTAATATATACCCTAGCTTTTATTAGTTACATAACATATTGACATATTTTAAAAGGTATTGTGGACATATCATATCTGTAAATTTGTAAAGAAGGATCAAATAAAATATATTTGTAAGTGAAAAAATTGTGGCATACAATTACTACTGAATTGGCACCACACAAAATTGTGTATCTACATTAGCTCCTTTCTTCCTTTTGAAACTTTGTTATTAGCTTGCTGCCAAAGCCGTTTTCAGATTGTTAATAGAGTAACTAAAAGTAGTACATTCACTAAGAATATTTGTAGTTTAATAGCATATGGACCCAAAGGAATTACTATGGGTAGATTTCATTCATTAAGTGGTAAGGGAAAATTATTCATATTTAGAAAAATTATATTACAATGGCAACTATTACATCTAAAAGTGAAGCCTACCCTGGCTAGATAATTTGTCCAGAAAAATACCTTGTCATTTAAGTGTTTATGATATTATGCTGATTTACTTGGCTCACAAATCCTTCCTTAGATTTTGCCTTTTCCTGTCCTGTAGCAAATGTACAGGACAGAGTATTTGTCTCTTTGTGAAAATGTAGAAGTTACCCAGAACCATATTCATCCTTTCCTCTCTTTTCTAGTTCTCTGGTGGAGATGAAGCTGAAGTTGGATGAAAAATCCTATTTTTAATTAATATTTTCCTTGCAATAACTTGGTCTTTCAATCTCCTTTTCATACTACTCAACTTTCGTAGCCTTGACAATGGGTGTCTTTTTTACTACATGCTGTTTAAAATCTTTCAGTAGATTATGTCTCTTGTATGGTGAATTTTATCTACAAAAGCCACTAGACAAAAGCATATATAAAGCTGACTTAGGGAGTTCCAAATGTGTTTCCCATTTCCTGTGACCCCTTTGTTCTTTGCTTCCAATCAGCTACAAGAATGGATGAGTCCTTACGAATTGCCTTTGAGAGGACAAGAACACTGACAGAAAGTGGACCATGAACTGACTGTAGATGTGTATGAACTAAAGGGGAGTTCATACAGACAGTGGGTCCACAGTGCGCTAACTACCAAGGAGTTCACAACCACCACAAAGATGTGTGAATGCTCAGAGTAAACCAATTACATTTATTTTGTACCAAGCAAAGCAGAAAATAACTCTATAGTCGAGTTACTTCCTCTTTTGAGGACCCAAAAAGGCAGTAAATGTAGTTGAAAACAGAGAAACAGATTTCGGTTAAGCTTCCGATAGGTCTAGAGAAGAGACAGTCTCTCTGGGGTATGATTTGTGGTTCCTCAGGAAGGATTGTTGGTCTAGAAAGAAGCCAGTGGATGAATTCCTCTAACTTGGTTGCACTGAGGAAGAATCTCCATTTTCCTCCATGAACAAAAGTTAGCTTGACCCATGTACCAAAGTCTGGGTAAATATAAAGACTCGGCTCTTTTTTTAAGCTTCTTGATACATTGTTTTGGTTACTTTTCCTCAGACTTTTAATTTTGGAAGAAATAATTTTTTTCTCAAGACAATCAGTGGCCTCTGGATAACTGGGAACTTTCTCTGGTTTTGCTGAAGAGATTTCAGAATTTTTAGAGGCCGATGTGTTCAGAGTTTCTGGATGTATGAGTTTTTGAAGTAGTTCTATGATTTCTTTACCATTTTCTCCCTCCAAAACCTCTAAACAGTGTATGCTAGAGCAAGAATTCTGGTGTTCCAGTTCTGTCACCTTCTTCTTTAAAGTATCAATGTCTTTTTTCATAGAAAGGATCTCTTTGATATTTGTGACTTTCTTGTCTTCATTAACATTCATTCTGGTTTCTAGGATCTCCATCTGCTTCTGATAATGGTCAATCTTTTCCTGGAGTTTTGATATTACATTGACAGTGTCAGTCATTTGACTGAGGAGTTGAATTTGGGTCATTTTAATATCTTGGAGCATTACTGTGAGATTCATTTCTTCATCTGAACTGAGGCCATGATGGGGAGTCATTGTTGGGTATCTAGTTGAATACTGGTGCTGGATCTTACATTTTTGATGAACCTTATTAAGAGATTTTCTGAGATTTGAAGTCCACATATGTCCAGCAGCAGCTTTTACCCTTTTGGTATGAAATTTGTACATCTTTCATTGTGAAACAAGGTATTGGGGGTTGGGAAAGCTGACAAGAATCACAGGAAGAAGAAATGTCGGAACAAAATGAACTTTCTCTTACTATTTGCTGGATTTCTTTCCTGGCAACATCATAGAATGCTCTATGGAGAATGTCAAAGGCTGCAACAAGCACTCTTAGGTGATCAGCTTCTCCTAAGGCAGCCCTACTGGAGAGCTCAGTGAAGTAATGGTCCACTGCATGGACTCCTTCCCACAGTAGTCATCCTCCTGAGCTGATGTCATAATGGCTGCTGGCTTAGAACACATTTAGGCATCACACAGCAGCCCTCAAAATTCTGCCACAGGATTTCTTTTTCACTTATAAATATTATTGTGACCCACCTGCCTTTTGTTTATGTTTAGTTATTATATCTACCGATATTCCATATTAGAAATGAAAACTAAAAATATCATATTTATTAATTTAAATGAAAGACTTATTACATGTTAACGTAAATGACATATTTTTATGAGATACAGTTTTATTTTCTATAGAAAACTAGTGAAAGAGTGTCTTATTGCTTAATATATCTGCAGATATTTAAATTAGCTATATTAATAGATGACTCCTATATTCTCATATGTTTCTGCATTTTGTGGTGAGTTGTTTTGAGTGAAGTACATGAAGAAAATGTGGCCTTGTAGAGATAAGCAGGAGAGAATATTAGTAGACTTTTCAGATACTTAGGGTATTATTTTTTCTTCTTCCACAAAAATTTGGCAAGTGATAACTTCTTAAAAGTTATTTGCACACCAGAACAACAGGTGTTGGCGAGGATGCGGGGAAAAAGGAACCCTCTTACACTGTTGGTGGGAATGTAAACTAGTACAACCATTCTGGAAAAAAATTTGGAGGCTACTTAAAAAGCTAAGCATTGATCTACCATTTGATCCAGCAATACCACTCTTGGGGATATACCCAAAAGACCGTGACACAGGTTACTCCAGAGGCACCTGCACACCCATGTTTATTGCGGCACTATTCACAATAGCCAAGTTATGGAAACAGCCAAGCTGCCCCACCACTGACAAATGGATTAAGAAAATGTGGTATCTATACACAATGGAATTTTATGCAGCCATGAAGAAGAACGAAACGTTATCATTTGCTGGTAAATGGATGGAATTGGAGAACATCATTCTGAGTGAGGTTAGCCTGGCCCAAAAGACCAAAAATCGTATGTTCTCCCTCATATGTGGACATTAGATCAAGGGCAAACACAACAAGGGGATTGGACTTTGAGCAGATGATAAAAGCGAGAGCACACAAGGGAGGGGTGAGGATAGGTTAAGACACCTAAAAAATTAGCTAGCATTTGTTGCCCTTAATGCAGAGAAACTAAAGCAGATACCTTAAAAGCAATTAAGGCCAATAGGAAAAGGGGACCAGGAACTAGAGAAAAGGTTAGATCAAAAAGAATTAACCTAGAAGGTAACACACACACACAGGAAATTAATGTGAGTCAACTCCCTGTATATCTATCCTTATCTCAACTAGCAAAAACCCTTGTTCCTTCCTATTATTGCTTATACTCTCTCTACAACAAAATTAGAGATAAGGGCAAAATAGTTTCTGCTGGGTATTGAGGGGGTGGGGGGAGAGGGAGGGGGTGGTGTGGGTGGTAAGGGAGGGGTGGGGGCAGGGGGGAGAAATGACCCAAGCCTTGTATGCACATATGAATAATAAAACAATAATAAAAAAAAAGAACCTTCCATCGGGGTGGGGGGAAAGTTAGTTGCAGTTCAATGAAGTTTCATATTCCATTACGTTAAGATTTATTGGGCCATTTTTGTTTTGAATGAATATATGATGACAAGCATTAATCATTTAGAAAATGAAAGTTCACTGCATTATGCTGATCTTCCATATATTGATTCATTTTATTATAAAATATAAAAATTATCATGCTCATTAATAATTACCACATTTCACAAGAAAGGTCTTTGCATATTGGGAAGTATCTAACCTCATGGTGGAAAATATATATTTTCCCAAACTCTAATTTTAGTTTAAAAGCTAGAAATTTATCAAGCTTGTGTTGTTTAAGGTAGCTTCCTTCTACCCATTTTTGGTAAATGCCCAACTATCAGCACCATAGTTTGCTGCCAGCTATTTTTTTCAAGTATAAATGGTACTCCCTGAAAAAAGAAGCTAGTTCAGTTTGTAACTCAAATAAGTACTTTTGGGGGTGACACCATCCAACTTAGGTAAGCAAAAATAATTTGTATATACTTCTCATTATATTATTCATAATATAAAAAAGAACATATGTCCTATTATTGAAGGGCTGAAATTTAGTAAGACTGAAGTTTTTTTTTACTACTTCATCAAGAACATTTCTGAGTGAAACTGTTTTTCTTATATTTTTTGTTTTTTCCCTCTGATTGAGTGGTTGTGACTAATATTAAAACTACTCTTGATACATTGTGGCTCCATTGTCTTGGTTTGTGCTAAGGTACCACCAATTTAATGCACCATTGATTTGTAATGCACTTTTCAAAATGCAAACTAAAAAGACAAATAGAGTCCGAGTATTATTTTAAAATATTTTTGCTCCATGGTTCACCGTATGCCACACTCTGAGAACCACAGCCTTAGAGTTTAAAAATAACATCATACTAAGACAAACCCAGACAGGCAAATACTGCATTTTTTTGCTCATATTCTATACCTAAAAATAATATAACATGATTATAAAAGGGGGACAGTTTGGGGGGACCAATAAGAAGGTGAAGGGGGAAAAGAGAGGGTGATGGGGGTGAATTTGATCAAAGTACATTATATATATTATGAAAATAGCATAATGAAATGTATTAAAATGTTAAAAAGACTGAGCTTAAGAAAGAGTAATATAGAAAGAATCAGTTGGATCAAAGTATGTTATATGCATGTATATAAATATCACAACAAAATCCCTTTGAACAGTTAATTTATACTAATGAAAAAAATCATACTGAAAAACAGCACCATACATTTCTCATGTGTCTTCTTAATGACAGTCCTTGAAATTCAAATCTTCCTAAATACTAAATAGTGTTTTGTACATTTTATATACTGTGGTAAAAAATTTTATTCTTTGAGCATGTAAGACTGAACATGGAATTAAAATGGCGTTGATAGTCATATGTGTCTCACAGAATAAATAGTACCTTTCTAGTCAAGGAATTTTTTTGTTTGGATTAGTGATAGTTTCACCCTTCTACTAAATCACTGTTTCTCCTGTTTGTGCCAAATTGCAGGGTCAGTCTTGGCCCAGGTTTTGGTATAAAGTCTGAAGTTAGCCAAAAGTAATTTAAGAATTTTGGCTCATCAAAAATATCTTTGCTTTACTCTCTTATCATTGAATTGCTACTTAGCAACCTTTCCAAAATGTCTAGAAACCTTCCTAAACTTGCTGAAGAAAAGTCTTCTCCAGGAGGCAGTTTACTGTTAGGGCAGAAAGGTTAGCATTCAGAGCTGGCCTGTTCACCTTGTCCAAGGCCATTTTATCCAGCAGATTTCACAGGCACAATGCTTAGGGCCTGCAAGGTTTCAAGGGCCAATAAAAAAATTGAGACCAGAAAAAGAGGAGGCAGGGTCAGAAGACTAAAAGAAAGCTGTAAGGTTGAAGCAGTAAATGTTTTATTAAATGTCTCTGAGATGTACTGCATTATCTTCATTAATTGTCTTTTTTTCCCTTTATTGTTGTGATGTGTGGGAGTACATTGTGGTATTATCTTCATTAATTGTTAGATTAAGTACTACTAACATTACACTACATTTGGAGGAATTTTGAAGATATGATATTCTTGCTTTATAGTTGCCAATTAAATTAGAGAGACTGTTTGTAGTAATTACTCCCTCCAGGTTAAAAACAACCAAGTCTTATTAAATGTCTAGCAGACACCATTACAAATAGTATCTTATTTAACTGAAGTCCAGAGAAGTAAGGAAATTTTCGTATGGTAACACAGCTAAAAAATAAGCAGAGTCAGACTTCACATACTAACGTACTGGCTATAGAGTCCATGAAAAAGGAAAAAAAATGACCTCTACTGCCATACAATCACGATAAAAATATATTTATCACAATTTAGGAAGAGATGGACATTTTTTAAAAAGCACACATTATGTATTTGTAGAATTGTTTTTATTAAATTTTTATTTATTTAACAATATGAGAAAACTAAAGCTTTAACTGGTTATTTTATTTACCAAAGCTGGCTGAAGTAGAAATTTGTAAAGCTTTTAGAATTTGAACTAGCTCTAATTCATAAGTAAAAATGGACTAAGGTAATATTATAACAACTAGAATTTGCTAAATGTTTGAACAAAAATTCATATATGCTGATTATTTTATGAAACATCAATCTAGTAGGCATACAAACATAAACCTGTCTGGGTGTCTAGTTACAGTTCCTATGTATTAGTGTTGCTGAGGGGAGCCCCAGCCTCAGGGTTTGCTAGACAGAGAAAGCTGTCATGGGAGGATCTAAGCCCAGTGATTTGGGTAAGGTTAGGAGAACAGTCAAAAAGTGAGTGAAAAAATGGAAAATGAGCTAATTTCCTTTCTAGGGCTCCTGCCACAAATGCAGAGGCATTTAGGAATAAAATAGCACAGTAAACTGAGCCTAGAGGGAGAGTTCCTGAGGAAAAGGAAGGCTACTTTCACAAGAATGGTATTTGCAGCCTGAAAAGTTGGAATTCAAAGTCATCCATTACTAACTCTGCTGTTGGGCAAGTTTACTGACCTCTCATAAACTTGTAAAATGGGACAATAACAGTACTTATTTTGTAGAATGGTTTTGAAAATTCCAGTGCTGAAGAAAAGGGTAAGCCCTTTTCCTGTTCTTCTCTAACCACTTCCTTCTTTTCTTCCAAGTTAAAGTAGAAAATAGTCAAGAGCTTTAAACTTTAGCTCAGCTTACTCTGTGAATCACTGACGCTGCCTTTCATTTTCTCTTTCAGTATGACCAAGATATAAAGCATG